GATGCCGGACGCCGATTCGCAGTGAGCATCGAACCGTGGCCCAAAATATGCATGCTTTGTTCTGCAGTAGGGTCATGCAGATGCACATGTGATGGCCAACCGTGTTGCTTTTTGGTCGTGGCTTCTTCTGTTTCTTACCGTCTTCGTATCCGTCAATGCCCATTAAATCATCCATTACTATGATCATCTTTGCAACGGGAGCGCTTAGAACTTCATAATCCGGGGTGGTTCTTGCCATGCGCGTTTGGTTCGTTTTTGCAGCCCGTCGAAACAAAAATTGGGCTTCGTTTCTTCTTCCTCTGGAAAGAAAAACAAAGAGCGAATATTTGGCTGGCCTCGGAAGACTCGGATTTGGGAAACTAGACGGCTGACCGTTCCAAGGCCAACTGCAAGCAATAAAAAGTAAAGCAAGTGGCCTGCAGGTCTGGTAAGCACGGAGATCCCTGCAAGACGCAAAAAAAGGGAAAGGATCCAAAAAATCCACAAAGAAATCAAAACGGTGGCCCAAATAGGATAAACGCTTCGCCAATGGTGTGTAGACACGCGACAGCACTTCTCACCCTGTAATAAAGGACCTGTGGAACAAGATGCAACTCTGCACAGGGGTGTCGGTTCCCAAATCAAATTAGAAAATGGCCAGTATCTTTCCATGTAGTAAACGGAGCAAATTGGCCGTGTAATGGCGATTTGCCGTTGACGACTGCTGAGTATCGCTTCGCGACCGTGTTGCGTTCTTTTCCGAGGCTGGTAGCAGAGAGAGATGAAAGTTGGAACGGCGTCAACGACGTATGTGGCTTGCTTTGAGACGTTCGAAAGCGCTGCGCTACCGTGGCAGCCCTTACAGTAGCAAGGAGCGCTAAGCGCCGTTCAGCTCGACCTCTTCCTGTCTAAGACTGGAAGATGTGATGGTCAGTCCTCCTGCGATGGTCGAGAGAGCGAGTTGGTGAACCCGAGCGGTAGGCATGGCGGGCCATCACAGTCCTGACATTTCCCAAGGATCCAAAGGACGCCAGCAAAACAATCAAAACTAAAAATAATAAAACTGGAAAGCCAAAATCCTTCGAGATATTAATATCTGGCTGCCAGTCCAGTCCAGCCGCCAAATCTGCCATCACAAGAACCTGGATCACACGCCGGCAGTTAGCACTTAGTAGCGTCAAAAAGGTTGATGCTCCAAAAAAGCGCAAAACAAAAGTGTGCAGGACGCCGGAAGATGACATCGTTGATTTCATCCGTCGCTCCAGAAGGCTGGCTGCTTGTCTGGCAAGTGGTCCTCGTCGTCGTGGAGGAGACCAGCAGAGGCTAATGCAGCCGTCGATGCTTATCCCAAACCGTTCATCATCCTGTATCTTTTCTTAGAACTTGGCGCCCCTTGTTGAGCCTATTCTTTGAGGTGCCGTAGAGCGATGGATAGGCAACCATTATAAAGGGCTTCCTTGCATGAGCAGGGGCTAACCTCAAGGGCTCGTGGGCTGACCGGATTGGCTGGTAAAGCGACGATGGAACAAAGACAAACTTTGTCGATGAAGAAGACAAGCGACAGATGCAGACCGACTTTTCTGGGCCCGCATGCCATCTGAATGACTATTTTTGGCCCATTTCGGAGGCAGGACCCAGCCGAACAGTCCGGGTGCCGAGTTTGAAGCTCTGTGTCGATATCAATGATGAAAAGTAAGAATGCAGTTGACGCTGGTCGACAGTAGGAGCGGTAAAGAAAAATGTCTCAAACAATGTTCCAGTCCGCTGGTCCCTTGCTCCTTCCTTTCCAACGCCGTACGACTCTGGCGTAGTTGCCGTGTTGGTACGCCGTAATTACGTACCGCGCTGTACGGTCGTTCTCTCCTTCGGTTGCACACTCCCGCTGTCAATTGACAATAGTTCTCTACTGTCCGTTTCTAGGATGTCCAAGAGCTAGAATTAAACCCCAATTCCATAAATAAAGAGGGGCAAAAATTGTGGCTTGCAAGGCCCTTGCAATAAAACGGTCGCTTACGATTTCAGTGCTTTGTAGACCCCGGTTCCCCCAGGCGCTACTAAAAAAAACCCTGCCCACGAACAAACGTGAGAGATTGCCCATTTGGGGGGGGAGGGGGAGACGGGAGGTTCTGTGCAAAGGACTCAATGTGGCGGCCCTCTTTCTTGCTTCCCTTGGAGATTTGGGCTTGGCAGAAGAGGGCACACCCTGGTCATACCAGCCACAGCTTAAAGAGTTTAAAATTGCAGTCGCAGGCAGCCCCCTCCAGCTCGGGGCAGGCACGGATCATCGCTGTCGCAGGCGAGAAAACAACAGCGAACGAGAGACGTTGGACGGAAGTAATTCCGGACAACTTTCGCAAGAAAGGAGCAATGTCAGAAAGGTAACACGCCGTTTCCAGCTTCCCGTTCCCACTAACGTCGGCAAACTTTTGTAGTGGCGAGGCGACAAAACGCAAGGCCGCACCCATGCGGCCGTCTCATTTCGCTCTTCTTTTCGAGTCTACCGAGAAAATGATTGGATCAAATGATGGCTTTTCGCTTCGAGGACCTACTACCTTTATGTGAGACGACAACGAGCCGGCCATGGCCACTCCTTCTGTAACCCTAGTTGTGAGTCCTTTGTAGGAATACTGTAAGGAAAAGAACTGTGTCTGCGACAATGGTACGCTACAAATTTGTTGGCACGGGACAATTGGGAGAACTCATCGCAGTATTTGCCTCTCGCTAATTTTTTTTTCTCCTCTATTTTTCAACGCCACTCGGCTTCCCGGTAGGGCCCGTTGGACAAAGCGCCAGGCTATTGGCCAGAACCACACACTACATAAAATACGGCAAACCAGTTGTATGTTTCCTTGCCTCTCAGCCACTCTAGCAGGGCAAGATCGTCCTGTCATTTTTGGGGCAATTTGCAGCGCTCGATGGTCGATCGCGAAAACGACAATCATTGCTCTGTTTTGCCAAGACCCACAAAGTACGACGTACGGAGTATTTCGTACGCACGACAATCACTTTGTGCTCGCACGACGAATTGCCTCTTTTTGACTTTTTTCGACTTTGTCAACTGTTGGTCGTTCCCGCAATTTCAGTATTGCTTTTGCTTCCAGCGAACCCCGGCCTGTCAAGTACATGGGCAAAAGTGGACGAGGCCGAGGGCTATTTTAGCAGTACATAACGACTGTTAAAAAAAAGTTTCCGCCTCGGCTTTGACGAGAAAAAAAGCCGAAAAGAAAAGAAAAGAAAGGAAACAGGCGCTTGGAAAGTTTTCGTGTGGAGTAGCAAAGCTACTTGCCGTCCTTCGTGCGGGTCTGATAATCGGCCAGGAAACGGTGGGGCGTCCTTAATTGGGAGCCTTGTTGGAAACGGCCAATGCCTAATCTTCGCGTTATGCAAGGGTGCCGTAGGGCAGTTCGAAACGGTACGAAGCAAGATACCTTTCTGATGTGCAAAATACTTGTCCGCCGTTTTGCTCTTTCCTGTTGCTAACCCACTTAGTAATTAACTCGCAAGTGTCGACACTGGCGACCAGCCACCACCAATGTGCCCGATATATTGGCTCTGAATGTATGTTGTACTCGAGTTTCCTCTCGCTACTGAGCTCTGCATTATTGCATGCAACAGCGAGGGCGCCATCTCCATGTGGTGGTTGCGATCGATGCAGATTATTAGCTGATGGCGCCAATAGCGTGCACCCTTGAAGCAACCACTGCACGATTCAAAATCATTTGAGTCAGTTGGTGGCGGTGCTCTAGCATCGCCCTATCCTAACTAACTTAACCTAACTAACTGAAGAAGCTTTGGCCAAACGGTTTTTCTACTCTGTGCTTCGCCTTGCTGTGCCACCTGCGAGTCACCATGATAGGATGCCCTCGATCGGACGGTGTACTATTCGCCCATGTACATATCAGTTTCGTTGTGCCGTGAGAGTGGCGCAAGGCTGCAGAGCTACTGCAGCGTTTCGTCATCTGCCCGCCCCGCCAAGTTCGCCATTACTTCGTAGGGCCCAGTCGACTGTCAGAACAAGATGAAGAGAAAAGAAGAGGGTGCGGTCGGACCTAATCATATCAGATCATGTCAAGGTGGGTGGAGCGGAGCGAATAAGCAAGATGTCAGGACATGTACAACATTCCGAGGAAAATGTGTTAGGAGAATTGAATGAACAGCAGAATGCGAGAAGCACTTTTGTTCAGACGTGCGGGTAAAATGATAAAACAGAGCCAGACAAAGAAAACGCACGATGCAGTAAAGGGCATATGCCGCAGCTCACGCATCGTCTGATCGCTGCGATCGAGAAGCGAGAAGCAACAAAGACAGGTGCAGAAACCAACGACGAGATGGGTCCGTCTGGCATACAATGTTTGATGCGTGGCACATCCTCTTGTCGCATACGTCGTAATACTCATAAAACGCTCGTGCCATCTGCCTGGTGTCTTGCATACTGTACAACGCGTCCTGCGTATGTGTTTCGTCTATTTGTTTCTGAGTAGCATCGTCTTCCGCCATTGATTCGCACAGAGAAGTTTTGTTCGTATGTCGTATTACCTGACATTGCGCTCTGGAAAGAAGAAGAGGAAGAACAGAGACAGCCGTTTTGCGTTTCCTCCATATCCCGCACGTTTGACGGGAATTGATTTGCACACACGCACGGTACATCAACCCCGGTTTCACTTTCTCGCGACGCCCATCCAGCCCAACATGATTGCCCCTGTCGAGTCCCCTGCCTTTCTGCCTGTTTCTCGTCCAGTACGACATCGTACTCAAAATATCGAGGCCGTTGTGTGTGGCTTGCTTGGTTGGTCCATTAATTGTTTCCAGTCAGCATCACCCGAGCCCCCGGTTGGACCAATCTTACGTTTTGCACTGTTTCCCGTAAGCTGACGGCGCCGTTTCGTTGTCCCCTTGTCGCCCGTTTCTCGCATTCTATTCCCTCTATCGGATTCTTGAGGCGGAGCCACAAGGCACCAGCCAAGACAAACTTTCATTTAAGCAGCACAGCCCGATTTCAGAGGGCTTTTTGGGCACCGGCAATGGACAATGGGCATCGGGCAACGGGGCAACCGTTGAAAGATGTGCCCATCACCGCCCAGACGTTTAAGCATGCCACGGAGCGATGCTCCGACGACCCAACCATCATTGGTCTTATTTCTGGATGCCAGACCAACCAGGAGAGCCCACGCCACGCTTGGAGAATACGTGACAAACGGTGGTGTGTGGCCGTGAACAGATGCGACGGAGGCGCGACAGATGAAACGCCGGTTCTTCTCATCTTGAGCCCTTCTCGTCTCCGTCACACTGCAGCGCAGCCAAAGCACCTGCAGCAGCTGCAGCAAGCCTGTAACGGCAAAAGAACGCGAACCAGAAAAGAGAGTCTCTTGGCGGATCCAGTGGCATGGAGGGATTGAGTACGTTGAGCGAAATGAGTGAAAAGACAAACTCCGGGCAGAGACAATGCCTGGCTGAGACGGAAAGGCCCCAGCGCCCGCACAGTTCGGCGGAGGAAGAGCACATATTAAGACGACACAGGAAGGCGCAACATCGTGACCAAACACGCCTTGGAATCAGTGCTTTTCGTTTTGTGCCTTGTCCAGCATTTTGTTTCTATTGTGGAAATGGTGCCCACCCATTCCTCCCCCCTGGTTGGTCCCTGCCTGATACGCGGGCCATGTCGACTTTCCCTGATCGCACTACTAGTGTCCATTTCGGTGCAGGCGTCGTTCTGGCTCTTTCCCTCTGAAATCAGAGCTGGTCTCACGCCAGTACAGGCCGTTTGGAGTAAAGCCAGATTCCCAATGACAACTATCGATAGGGGCGGTCCTCCACTAAAAGGAAATTTCAGGCCCGCCTGACCTTGTTTCCCAGATGTTCTCTAGCTTGGCTGCCGTCATACGCCCGCTCTTTGCGTCTCGCGCCCGCGCTGGCGCTAGCCATACAAAATACTCCTTAATACTATGCGCGTTCTTCGGGAATGTCGAATTCCCCGAAATCCCTGATGCTGCGCTCGTGGACTATTTTCTGTTCTTTTACGCCTTGTCGACAGTAATTAATTACTATGCAATTGCAACGTTTGCTACCAGCATTGGCATCGTTTTGCGCTCGATATTTAGCGGTCTGCAGTGGCCTATCTCCCTGATTGTGAGGTCGTGTGTCGCTCGCGTGGGCTCTTGTGTGCTCGCGTGGCCGTACCTTCCTCCACGGATGCAGAATAAAGAAGGCAGGAAGTCGTTCCCACCTCCCTCAATCGAGACGCCGCTGTCTCTCCAGCCAACAATTGCAATATACTCCGTCCTTCCTCACGTTGTGCTTCCGTCCACGGTCGCTGCCACTGTTTTTGTTCTTTCTTTCCACTGTCGCGGTTTCCTCAATTTTCACTAAACGTGCGATTGACGTAAGCGCCAATGCGTCCCGAGCACCCAGTCAAATCCCAGACCTTCCATCCCGCACCTACTAGCGTCCCTGCATTCTGAGTACTAGCGTCGTTTTTGTCGGTCTCGCTCCTTGGCGGCTCCGTTTTCTCACTCCGTTTCGCTCATCCCGTTGTCCATGCCCTCTCTCTACCCAAAGGATTTCGTCCGAGGCCTCGGTGCGCCATATGACCACTACAGCCTCTTCCAAGCTTCCAAAGAGCCCCGCTGCCACCGTCCCGCTCGCGCCGTTGGGTGTTTTACTTCGAGGTGATAGGGGCTAGCAAACCTCTGCAATTAGGTTTTTTTGTCTTTCCCAGTCGCTCCTGCCTACGGTTCGTCCGTCGCTTTCGCTCTTTCCTCGCTGCGCCGTCCCACCGTTTTCTTTCGTCTCGGACGCCGCCCACTCCCTTGACCCCAAAATCCTCATATTCCCTTGTCCTCGCTCTTCGCCCAGAAATACACCATTCCTGGTCCCCTTTTTCTTTCTTTTCCCTTTCTTATCCCCCTCTGCCTCCCATCCTTCAGTTTGTTTCCTTTCTTTTTGCTTCTTGTCGCTTTCCATCCGCTCCCTACTCCGACGACGACTCCGAATAATATTCTGTCGACTAAGGACCATGGGCGTGCGCTGCTGTTGACTATCGACTTTCCTTTGATCGCGAGACCTCCCTCCCTCGCCATCATCTCCGACTCTCTTGCGACCGCCTCCTCACGACAACCCATTTCGAGTTGCTCGCTTTCTTGCCTCACCAACCGACACTTGTCTCGATTCTCCGCGGCAATATATTTGTGACCGTGTTAAGGCGAACCCATTAGGTCCGCCGAACTTTGTATTTGTCACCGTACGAGCCATCACGACCCCCGGAATATTTAACAGTCTTATTGCCGATATACTTCGACTCGACGAGCCAAACAGCGCTACGTTCCTATCTACACCGCGCCAACTCTCTCACAGCCACCGCAACCATGCAAGATTTCGGTACCGGTTTCTCGCAATCAGCGCCGAAAATGTCCTTTTTCTGGCCTGCCGCCGCGGCGCTGGCCCAATGGAACCCGATCCCCCGCAAATACCGGCCTGGTCGCAGCCGGAGAAAGCAGAAACCTCGCTTGTCTGTCTCCGCGCCGCCTTCGCGCTTTGCGTCAACAACACAGGCTGGTAGCGGCAAGGCGTCTGTCGGCAATGTTGCGTCGCTCCAGCGCTCTTTCAACCCGGCTGATGGCCTGCGTACTCTCCGCCGCCATCGGTGGAACATCTACGATATACAGCATCTGATTACGGCTGCTTTCGTCCTTTTCTCCTTCATTATTGCACCTATTCCTCTCATTGTCGACATCGGTATCGTCGCCGGCTACAGTCTGCTTGTCCTGATGCCTGCGACACGTCAGTTCTTCCTGCCCAGCTTGCCGATATGGACGTATCTGTTTTATTTCTTCTCCAGCCGGTAAGTTTTCCATTTCTATGCGGTGTGGTTTGTGGCTTGTGCCATGAGAAACGTTTTTCCTGTTGTCGTTACGCAATCTGCCGAGCAACCCGCTCAACGCCTGCAGCTTCACCTGCATTTGTGCGCGCGGGTGAAGAGTACTGGGAAAAGTGGGAGGGCAGGTTGCGGACAATTTTGATTAATTTTGGTGGCGTTTTGATCCACCTGGCACAACCCACGATGTTTCTGTATTTGTGTGAACCTTGTTTCTGACTTTTTGTTTCTTCCGTTACAGATTCATCCCTGTCGAGTATCGTCCTCACATTTGGGTGAAGGTTCTGCCGGCGCTTGAGAACGTTCTGTACGGCGCCAATTTGTCTAACATCCTGTCGGCGCACACACACCCCGTGCTCGACCTCCTGGCATGGTTCCCTTACGGCCTGGGCCACTTCGGCGCACCTGCGGTGTGCAGTGTGCTCATGTTCTTCTTCGCCGCCCCTGGCACGACGCCTATCTTTGCTCGCAACTTTGGCTACTTGGCGCTTGTTGGCGTCACCACCCAGCTCGTCTTCCCCTGCACGCCCCCTTGGTACGAGCGCCTGCACGGCCTCGAACCCGCCCACTACGGCATGCCCGGTTCTCCTGCCGGTCTGGCGCGCGTGGACCAGCTGTTGGGCGTTGACATGTATACGACGAGTTTCACCACTGCTCCTCTTCCCTTCGGTGCTTTCCCGAGCCTGCACGCTGCTGACGCCACGCTCGAGGCCCTGTTCATGAGCTACTGCTTCCCCCGCTTCCGCATTGTTTTCATTGCGTATGTTGGCTGGATTTGGTGGGCCACCATGTACCTGAATCACCACTACGCTGTTGACCTCGTTGCCGGCAGCTTGCTGGCCGCCCTTTTCTACTACATCTCGCGCGCGAGCTTCATGCCCCGCCGCCAGCCGGACAAGCGCACCCGTTGGCAGTATGAGTACGTCGAGATCGGTGAGAAGAACCGCTCTATCGTTGACGAGTATGCGTACAATTACTACGACGGCTTCGGTCTCGACTTGCTGCCGCGCCATCGTGTCGCCGGTGCCTTCGGCGACAGCGACGAGTGGACCATTGGCAGCACCTCAAGCTTCGCTTCGTCTTCTGGCGGCAGTGTCAGTGGCAGCGTGAGCGGCGGTGGCAGTCGTGATAACAGCAGCCCAGGGACCATGAGCCCGACGACACCCGAAGTCGAGTTTCACCCTGTGAGTGTGTGGGACACCACCAACGCGTCAAATACCCGCTACGCCGAGCTGAGCGAGGTCGTACCAGTTCGGTGATCCTGTCACCACAAAATCTTAATGTATAATCGAAATCCTCACATCACCACACCACTACCGCCGTTAATATAACTCTACCACCATCCCCGACTCCGATTACATTTGTCGAGCATTTCGTTTTCTTCAACTTCTTTCTTCGGCGATCTTTCTCTTTCCTCTTCCACAGCATCATGTTGCAAACACGATCACGTCGAGTTGACAGTTTTTTGCCCGAATGTTTTATTATGACGACACTCGCTTTTTTACACCATATTGGCGTTCAAACCCCCTCTGCTTTTTATTCATGGCGTTCAGACGGTGTTTCTATTCTGGCAATGGGCGGAAACAATTGGAGAGGGGTTGGGTTTGGCTTTAGACGAGAGTCATACACCAAAACAACATACCACGCAGCACACACGTGTCTGCATTGCATTCGTTTAACGGGGTTTCAGCGGCCGGCATTCGTTACATATTTTGTTCTTGTTTTCGCTTTTTGTGGGCAATTGCTTTAGCTTTCTTTGCAACATGACATCAAGGAGAAAGTACTTGTGCCTTCTCCATCGGTATCTAGTTGTCGCTGGGGTACGTTCACCGGTGACGACACTTGTCTACCGCCAGTGGATCTCAGCATGTTTCTTTTGTGATTTTACCTTTTCTTCTTCTTTTTTTCTTCTTTTTTTTTGCGTTGCATGCCATCAGCCAGTCATCGCTTTTGATATTTTATGACCAAATGGGCGCAAACGGGACAGGAGGGAAGAGGAAGAGGACTGGAGTTCCCGAGGCAACAAACACCGGAGTCAACTAATTTTTTCAGTTGTGGATGTTTGGCTTGCCACTTTTGATATTGTTCTGGAGGGAGGTGTCACTAATATTGGGTTCTGTGTCGGATGAACATGAACATCGGGGTGACGACACCATAGAGACGAAGAACAAAACAAGAGTCTTGGAATTCGAGACGTTGACGGCGGTCTATTTGTCGGTTGCTTTCGGTTTTCTCACCAACAGCTATGTCTAGAAGGAATATGGAGGCTTCAAAGGGGAGAAAGGGCTGGACTTTGCAAGAAGAACGTTGTCATTCACAGCGGTGTCAGTCGTAATGGGTGCGAGGATGGTATTTTCTTCTACGGCAGACATAGATGGCAGAAGCAACAAGCACAAACAATGAATTCCATTGATAATCTACAATACAGTTTCTCCGCGGCAGTGAATATTGTGAGGAAAACAAACATAAGCGAAGAAAAACGTAGCCAAACTTATTTAAATTAATTAAATTTGTCTTTTTCTCATACACCACTTTTTATAAAACAAATGATGACAAAAAAAAATGAAAAAAAGAAAACGATTGCGGAGGGAAAACTTGGTGGTCTCAAACAGTCCCTTGCAAAAGCTGTTGAAATGACAGACAAATAAAAAAAGCAGTAAATTTCGCGCCTTCCAGTCCCTATCCTCATCAAACAAGTGCAAGAAATGAAAGACAATCAAGTGACAGAAAATTGAAAAAAAAAAAGCCACAAAAAATTGCAAATAAAATGAGGAACCATGAACCTTAAAATCAAGTACGCCGTCGCCGCTACACCTGATTACTCCGCTAGTTTATCCGAGGAAGCGGCACCGGCGTCACCTTCTTGGGCTGCGGAGCAGAGGTGGTCAGGCCGGCAGCTGGAGTGGATACGCTGTCATCCCCAGCCTTGCTGGCCTTGCGCTCCTTTTTGTCCTTTTTGTCCTTTTCTTTCTGTTCCTTTTTCCCCTTCCTTTCCTTCTTTTCGCTCTTCTCGCTCTTGTCCTTCTTGTCCTTCTTCTTCTTCTTCTCAGGACTGCTTTCAGCAGGAGCGGCATCCTCATCGTCGTCAATGTCCATGGCATCGGCGTCAACGTCAGCCACGGCACGTTTCTTGTCCTTGTTCTTCTTGCTCACAATCTTGTTGTCGACAGTAATCTTGGACGGAGTGTCGATATGCGAGTAGGATGGCTGCGACGACGACGGCAGAACAGGCGGTGCCACCGGGGTCACCTTGTGCACAGGGACCGCCGCGAGGCCAGGGATTGGCGGCAGCGGCACAGCACTCGCTGACTTCTTGTCCTTCTTGGACAACGTTTCGGTCTCCTTTTCTGCAGACTTGTCCTTCCGCGCCTTCTTCGGACTGGGCTCGGCTGCTCCCTCGGCGTCCTTGCCCCTGTTCTTGCTGATCTTGACCGCAGCGCCGCCATCGCTATCGTCGCCGCTGTCGACTGTAGCAGCCGCAGGGGCCGCCACGGCCGTCATGCCCTCGTGCTTTCGCTTCTTAGACGAGTTCACAGTGTCGTTGACACCAATCGGCAAGTACCGCGCACGCAGGCCCTCGGGCTGCTTCCGAGGTTGCTTCTTGGACGCCACGGGCGCCTGCAGTTCCATAGCGGCGTTGGCAGCCACCTCCTCATCTCCCTGCGAAAACCGGGTTACACGCTTCAGATGCATAGTCTTGTCGATGGTCCGGTCCACTACGGAGGTTAGTCTGGGGGTCTTTTGTGGATAGAGCAGGACGAGGTTCCAGGTTGGTACGCACGGATAGAGTACTTATCGCCAGCCTTGTTGGGGATCAACAGCTTGATCGTCTTTGAAGTAAGAGCATCGTCGAAGCTCATACCGTAGTCCTCGCCGTTGTGGTTCAAAATCGCCTTGCCCTGCTGGGCCTTTTCAACAGGAATCGCCATCTTCTCGACAACAGTAATAGGCACCGAGGACGGGGCCGTGAAGTACCAGAGCTGCTTTCCCTCGAGCTTCGCCTGGCGGAACACACGAGCGACATCGGAAGCGTCGTTCGACTCATCGGCGCGCCGCAGTTCGAAGCCTTGGGTTACAAATTGGCGAGGGTTGCTTCCCCTGTAGTTGAACATAATGTCAGTCTCCTCTGCTTGGTTTTCATTCAACTTGGTGGCAAGTACACTTGGACATACACTTGGTTGTCGCTGTTCTTCCGGGTATCAATGGCAAAAGACTGATCAGCCATCTCCTCGTCCGAAACGGCACCATCGGCTACAGGGGCCTCGTTCTCCGACTCGTCCTCCTCTTCTCCACCCTTGGACTCGGAGTTTTCAACGCTGGCTGACCGCGAACTCGACGAGCTGGTCGCAGCCGAAGAGGATGTTGATGTAGACGGTGCAGTTGTTACAGGCTTGCTAGTTGTCTTTGTGTTTGCTGTCTTGCCAGCCTTCGTCTTTGGCGCCTCGCCCTCGTCCTCCTCATCGCTTTCCGAGTCGGATTCGCTCCCGTCGCTGCTGCTTTCGCTGTCGTCATCGCTGTCGTCGCTGCTGCTTTCTTCGCTGTCTTCATCGCTGCCGCTGCTCTCGTCTTTCACAGCAGTCTTCTTCATGGCTGTGCCGTTCGTCTTCGCGGCCGGCTTTGATGCGAGCGTAGGTGTGCGGACGGAGGTGCCATTGGGCTTGGTCGGAGACTTGGTCGGCACGGGAGAGGCCGCTGCTGCGTTCGTATGCGAGATCTTGCGCAAAAAGGACGATTTGTTGTCATCGTCCGAGTCGCTGCCAGACGAGCCGCTGTCGCTGTCGCTTGACTCGTCATCGCTGTCATCGAAAGCTGCGCTCTTGCTTCCGTTCTTCAGGTCGCTCAAGGACATCTTCGGTGCCGTGGTCTCTGTAGGCTGGCTACTGAGTATGCCCTTGAGATGGTCGGCCAGTTTGCCCAGAGGCGCCCTGGGACCAACCATTGTGTCGGTTTGCTGTTTGCTGAATTGTTTTGGAGATCGCTAGGTTGGGGAGGAGTGGGAGGGGGTGGGTTTTTTCGGTGAGTCGAATTTGAGGGCAAGTGTTGTTGATTGGTGGCTGTTGTTGATTGAGACATGCGATCGTGGATTATCTTCGACTTGAGAAGACAGACCGAAAAATGTTTCTTACTTAGCCAAAGCTGGTTCCCTTTGAGCATAACAGTCTGAAAAAAAGACTTCACTTAAACAAATCGCGCGTCCCCATTGGCTGGCACCGTCCTGCCTTGTTTGGAAAGAACGGCAGAATCATTTCACCGCCAAAATGTTTTTGTTGGAAGGTGCGATACAGCACTGTGCGATGTATACCGTTGTCGCAAACAGAAGAGAAAGGCTGGGATCGCATCAGGATATATGACGAATAACGAGACCCAATTTCTGTCTACAATATTGCGTCCCAGTGATGCGAAGTTTTTACAGAGATATGTGAATTACTGCCATGAGAAGTGTTCCTTTGAGCTTATTCACCGTGGTGGTTAAGACCAGCCCCACAATTTGGTCGTGCCTGCCCTGCCAAACACAGTGCATGTTGGTTCCTTCTCTCACTCCATTTCAGATTGACCTCAGCTTGTCTTCACTTGCTCCTCACAACACCCTCGCCCCGACTCACTTTCAACGAGCCACGAGGCCGGCTTGCTCTACTAGGCACAATATGGAGCCGAGAAAAAAGAGGAAAGTCGAGCTTGTCCCGCCGCCAGCACCACGTGAGTACCCTGTGGAGGACCGGGATGAAAACAAACAGCAATGAGAATGCAACGTTCGTTTCTATGACGTCGAACTATTTCTAACGTGATTATTTCCAGTCAAGAGCGCAAGGCAGCGGATGCTCGAGCAAAAAGAGGCGGCTGCACGTGAGGCGCAGGCAGCACTTGAGAAATCGGCTGTCGAGGCGGTTGCCAAGCCTTCCCAGATGAATGAGGTCCAAGATGCTCAGCCATCCGAAGCTGAAGCAGCGAGCTTTCCCTTAGGACTGGTTGACAAAGAAACGAAATTCGCCGGGGCCGCTTTTACAGGTGTGGAAGCTATAGCAGCATCTGAACAGACACCCGTCGGCCCACCTGTGGAACAGATTACGAGGTCAGAACTCTCTCTTATGTTGGTTGATACATCATCCCCCATCTGACCATATAAATAGCAATACCACAGTACTTCTGGCGTCGAGCCGATCTGCGGCACCCGTTTTACGATCCTCTTTCCAGCCGAGTAAGCAAAACTTCCAACAGAAGGCAAATGGGACCGTGCTCCTAAAGCTGGTTGATGAGGAGGTACGTGAACTTCCCCAACATTATGTCATATGACGAGATACACGTCTAACATCACAGCGGCTTGTTATTCTCGGAAGCTATGGTCTTTCGATCCGGAGTGGTTCTGTCACCTTGGCTGGCGCAACATTGCGTGCATCCGAGAAGACGCACTGGGTTCATGCACCACGATGTCACGCATTACCAGTTCTTCGGTGCACGGATGACGCAACTATCATGCTTCAATCACACCCGGCTTCTGCGTCGCTCCGCCAGCTAGGAGTGCTATCGCCCCTATTTTCGAGACTCTGGAACGAGCCGCCGGTCGGCTCATCTAAGAAGGAGGCCGACGCAACGTTCCAAATTGTAAGCTCCCCAAAAACGCAATTCTTTCGAGTAGAGCTGCCTGCACGTATTCTAACGCTTTCTATAGCTTTACACATCCGACGATGATGTATTGCAATCGCGCGACATCACGGCACCTCCTGAGTGGTACAAGCTGATCGCTGGGTTAACGACGTCCCAAAAACGCAGTCCTAAGATCGGGCAGCAGGTTTTGTTTGTCTGTGGACCAAAGTCATCCGGCAAATCTACGTTTTCACGGTTACTCGCCAATAGATTCGTCACCAAAGATGTCGCGACTGTAGGCAAGCAGCCTAAGAAGTGGACGACACCCAGTGTTGCTGTGCTGGATATTGACCCCGGCCAGCCCGAGTTTGGTACGCCGGGTTCGTTGTCCCTGGTGCACGTCCAAGAGCCAAATTTCACGCCTACATTCTGCCATCCATATGTCGCCGGCAGGGATAGCCATAGCAACAGACTACTTCGTGCTCACGAGCTGGCGTCTGTGTCGCCTGCAACAGACCCAGAGCACTACATTGAGTGTGTGCTGGATCTCTATTCTTTCTACCACAGAGACTTGCGGAATCGCTGCCCACTTGTCGTGAACACGCCAGGATGGATCCAGGGCACAGGGTTGGAAATTCTTACGGGATTGATCGAGAGGATGCGGCCATCAGATGTCATCTACATGTCGCAAGAGGGCCCCGAAGAGACGGTCGCGGGCTTAAGATCTGCATACCAGGGCGTACCTCTCGTGGAGTTGCCGTCGCAGCCGGGCGACCTGAAAGCTCGAACTGCTGCGCATCTCAGGACGATGCAAACCATGTCCTACATCCACCTCGACTCCTCCTCTCATCCTACCTCGGCAACGCTGCGATCGCTAAAAACCCAGAGCAACTCATACGCTTCGTGGCTGGCCAGACCTGTAAGCGCGATACGTCCGTGGATAGTGCCTTATGCTGGACCGGAGAGTGGTATCCTTGGAGTCGTCTGTTACGACTCACAGCCGCCGGCCGATCTCATTGCAGATGCAATCAATGGTACGGTTGTTTCCATTGTGGCTATCGAGAATATGGCCGCGTTCCGGACAGTCACGGAGGCCAGTGACCAAGGCTTGGAGATGGAGGTCGACACGGACGAAAGAGGGGAGATGGACCATTATGCTCCAGGCTCCGTCACGCGTCGCCTTCCGCCACTTGTGCGCTCACCGGAAGGCATCCCTTACATTCTGAATCCGGACGACCGAAAGCTGGATCCATGCCATTCCTACAAACTGGGCATCGCTCTTGTGAGAGGGATCAGTGCTCAAAATAAAGAGCTTCATTTGTTGACGCCGCTGCCTGCTAGCGAGATAATCGACGAGGTTATGCAGCAGGATGGCGTCGGCATTGTCCTTGTCTCGGGAAAGTTCGACTCGCCAACATGGGCTTATACGGAGGATCTTGTCTTGCAAAATGCCAACAAAGAATTTACGGGCATAGGCGACGGAAGTGACGACGTGGCTGAGGATGATTTAGACGGAGACGATTCGGAGGCTGTAGCTGATGGTGCGGCCATGGAGAGCGAGGCCACTTCCCGTGGACTATGGCCACCGTCCGAGATACCCTGGGTCGAGGCCCTACAAGGTGGACAAAAACGAGACATCGGTTCCCGTGTATGGCGCGTGAGGCGTGACCTTGGCCGAAACGCAGGCACTGCAAACGGCGGCGCCGAATAAGCCTGGCAAGAAAAGCCAAACTGTCTGAGGCATGCTTTTCAAGGGCAAGCCTTTTGTCGGCAATACTGCGCCGTCAACTTTGTGCCTCTCCTGATCGGTCATGCTCTGTCATTTTCCTCTCATAACGAGCTACCCCGCCCCTTCTGGTTCCGCAGCTCATCCTACGTGAATAGTTGTAATGAATGCTCACACGAGCGCCCGTTCCCCAAATTTTCCGCACGGCGAAGGAGCACGGCACTGCAGCGACAGAGTGAAAGGTGGGGCGCCGGCATCGATTTTGGATTATGCTGTGTCTCTCCTCGAACATACTTCCGAAGGAAAGCGTTTTGTGTACACCAATTTGACCTTTTCATTTGCAGCAGTGTAATTTAAGTGTGTGGCTGCCCATTACATGCAATTTTGTTTTCTTGAGCCATCTTGGATATTGTTTTCCCTTGCTACGTTCCACAACACATTGCCAAGTGTTTCTTTTCTGTTCTTTTCTTTTTTTGTTCCTCCTTGTTTCGCCTAGCCGCATCTCTCTGAACGAACATCTTCTTGTGCAACGCTCGACAGCAATCCATTTCCTAGCCCCCACGCGACGGACCATGACGGACACGAAAACAACTTCCAAGACGGATGTCTTAATTATTGGTGCCGGGCCAGCAGGCTTAATGTTGGCGTTGTGGTTGGCTCGCCTCGGAGTGGATGCCCGTATCGTGGACAAGCGCACCGGCAAGGTCTATTCCGGGCAGGCAGATGGGTAAGGCAGCAACTCCTGTGTGACACGTTGATAAAGAGAGGCAGAAGTCCGAACAGTCAGGTATACTAACCGCGCCGATTTTAGATTCCAAGTTCGCTCACTGGAGATTCTAGACAGCTTCGGTATCGCAGAAAAGATTTGGAAGGAGTCGAACCATATGATTGGTACGCCTATGGATCGCATTCTTCTGTAGTCGTATTGATCGATTATGCTAACATGTAAGCAGAGGTCTGTTTTTGGAATCCGGACGAAACAGGTCGTATTCGCCGCAACAACCGCGTGGTCAACGGGAGGGCTGGCCTGTCTCGGTTCCACGAGGTTGTACTACACCAGGGCCGAGCCGAGACATTCTTTCTGGACGCCATCCGCGACTCCTACGGGCCGGCGAACGATGACGTGCGTGTGGGCTCTGACAGCGGTGTCGAATCGGGCCTGCCGAGACGGCGCCGAATTGCTGTGGAGCGCAAGGTGATGCCAACGTCCCTTGTGATTGACGAACAGCAAGCCGATGACGCAGAAGCCTATCCAGTCACCGTCACGCTGCGACACTTGAGCGAGTCCGAGGCCACACCGACGCAGATGCTCAGCAACGTGCAGGATGGGCTCTTCCGGAGCAACCTTGGCCTGCCAGACGACGACTCCTTGCTGAAAGGCGGCAGCACAGTAGACGATGAGCGGGAAGAAGTTGTAGCGTGCAAGTATGTGGTCGGCTGCGATGGAGCACACAGCTGGACACGGAAAACGCTTGGACCGGAGTTTGACATGGTGGGCGAAATGACGGACTACATCTGGGGCGTGTTGGACATTGTTCCGATTACCGATTTTCGTGCGTATTCTCCCCCGAGCGTATGACGTACAAGTACTGACAGCAATAGCCGACATCCGCAACCGCACGATGATTCACAGCGCCTCCAACGGCAGTCTCATGGTCATCCCGCGCGAGAACCGGCTCGTGCGTTTGTACATCCAGCTGACGGAGGTGTCTGTTGGCGGCGGACGCGTTGATCGCTCGCAAATTCAGCCTGACATGATCATCAAGGCGGCTAAGAAAATCATGAGCCCGTACCAGATCGACTACCACTACTGTGACTGGTACGTGCAAGTCTGCGGATGGCCGGCAGGGAGGGTCACACGGCAGTGCCAGCGAATAGCATAAAAAAAATAACATAAAAACTACGGGGCAAAAGCTAACATGTGGTGCAGGTGGACTGCTTACCAGGTTGGGCAGCGCGTTGGCAACCACTTTAGCAAGCTGAACCGAGTGTTCCTCGCAGGAGGTAATCTTGCCGTCTTCTCATTTGATGGCGTTTTGGTTTCTAAGCTGACACGATAGACGCCGTTCACACACACTCACCAAAGGCCGGCCAGGGTATGAACGTGTCAATGCAGGACACGTACAATTTAGGCTGGAAGCTGGGTCTTGTGTGCAAGGGAATCCTCCAGCCAGCGGTCTTGTCGACCTACGAACTTGAACGGAAGGCCATTGCGAAGCAGCTCATAGCATTTGACCACCGCTTCTCGCGCCTGTTCTCGGGCCGCCCGGCCAAAGACATCCTGGACGAGACGGGCGTCTCTATGGACGAGTTTGCCGCAGCCTTCCGCCAAAGCCATATGGTAAGCGACGACAGCCATCAGAAACAAATTTCCACAGGAAAGGCGTCAACCACTGACTTTTTTTTTTCAGTTTACAACTGCCGTAGGCATCAAATATCAGTCGAGCGTGCTGGTCACTACTGCCACCGACATCCCCCCAGAGGATGTAACGGGCGACGAGAGCAAGATACATGCCGATGTGCTGCAAAGCACAGCCCACAGCACCAGTGCACTGTCGGCGGCGTGCACTCTGGGCACGCGATTTCCCTCGCACCAAGTCCTGCGGCATGCAGATGCGCGCCCCTGGCAGCTGCATCACAAGATGCCGTCCGACGGCCGACTCCGCCTAGTGGTGTTTGGTGGAGAATTGTCAGCGTCGTCTCAGCAGATGGAAAAGGTCAACAAACTCGGTGCCTGGCTGTCTGATACGCTGCTGCCCCAGCTGCCTACGATGGCGATTATGCCGGGCACGACCAATCTCCACGGCGGTGGCCGTCCAGGCTATGGACTTGCACCAGAGCAACCCCCGAGCATTGTCGACGTTCTGCTCGTGTATGCGGCTGCTCCTGATCCTGGGAATCCCGGCCTTTCTGGGTCTGCCGGAGATGCAATCGACTTCTTTGATTTCCACAAAGCGTATCGCCCATTCGACCCCAAGCTCGGGCACGACTACGACAAGGTGTTTGTGGACCGGCCCAGCCACCACGACGGCGATGGACACGCATACGAAAACTATGGCATCGACCGCACGCGCGGGGCGATTGTCGGTGTGCGGCCAGACGGATACGTTGGGCTGGTGACGAGTCTAGACGCCGAGTCCGGTTGGCCAGAAGTGGCGCGGTGGCTCCTAGGAATTCTGCAACCGCGAACAGGGCGGGAACAGGCCAAGTGAATGCAACGGGTAAGATACTTGGTTGATTTTGAGCTGGTTTTGCTGTTGGGTTTCTGTCTTGGACGTGCCTTGTGAAAATTTTGCTTCCTTTTCTGCAGCATGTTTCTGGTTGCTTTGTTACACAAATAATCAAGGTCCAGTCCGCTTATCAACGTCTCGTTCATGCTTGTTTGGCCCTTGGCATGGCAGCACTGACATGCATTTTTCCCGTGACACAAAATGCATGCTTGTCACCCAACATTTCGCCTCGCCAACAAACAGTCGACTAATTGGTTTGACCCCCAATGGCAAACTGCCAGCCAACGTCGCTGCCAACGACTCCCTCTGCCGCCTTGAACCGTCTAACGGGCCCATTCCGGGGTGGTCAGGAGCTTGGGACATCGTTAGGCCGGCTTTGAGGTCGCTCAGTTCCTCTCCCTCTATTGGCTTTTTTGTAACCGTTTTCCCCATTGAGACGGTCCTCAGCCGCGCGTCCGCCACCGGGCAAAAGAACAAACCTTCTGCAGGGCTTTGCGCGTCTGGAAATGGACCTATGCGGTGCCTTATTTGCCGGAAGGTCATCCGCCAAGTTCATGTGGTTGCATCAAAGGAAGAGCTTGGACATCCAGGGGAAACGGTCGACGGTGAAGCTGTTGCAACGGACTAAGAAAGAGTCCTGGTCAATCCAACGAGCAACAGCACGAGGGCAAAGCCACATAAATACAAGAAATATAAATCCGGCACAGACGATAAATTACGTCGTACGAGGCACGAGACCTGGGCGATTCTTGATGGCCTTCGCGGCCTTCGCTTTCATCGTGAGCACCGGTGTCACTTGCGATCCTTTGATGCCTTCGTGCAAAAGTAATATTTATTTTGCCCCTTGTCTACCTAGTATCTATTTATTAACATCCGTCTTTGTCACGGTTGTTCGAGGCGTCTTGTGTAACCTTTCTAGACCCCCACCGAGACCGACGTCCTTGCTTTCTCTCGCTGCCCTGTTTAAAGTAGCAAAGAACGTGCATTCCGTGATCATGTAGGACATCTACAAAAGACATAAGGGGACACACATTCTCCCTCGTCTTGCTGGCAGCACTTTCATCCTTTGTAGACAAAATAGAACACCTTTATTATGGCTACCGCTCCATCTATTTCTGTCCACATTTATTTTCATCCTGCTCAAGTCAACTCTTTGTGGCGTCACTCTTCTCCTTTCACACTCCAACGCCAGCGGCAGCAACCTGCTCAATTTGCCTCGACGAAAGGGCAGTCACTATTTCGAAAACACCTCACTTGATCGAGGATTCACCTGTTTTCTCATCCTCAATATGCTTCCAAGAAAGTGTATAAAGCTGCGCATGTTACGATGCAGTTCCTGGCTCGCCTCGTCCTGATGGGTGTCCTCAAGAGACAGCCGGTCGATGACCCACGACCAAAGATCGATACACTCGTCCGCGCCTCACTCTACACGAGATCCAAACTACACGTAAAGAAGTACCGTCGCCATCTCAGAAAAATGGCTGACACGGAATACAAATCTCCGACCGATAAGGCGCTTCAAGAGGCCAAGCGACTCGTGCATCCTGCCAGGCTGATATCCAGCATCCTGGACCACGACAAAATTTTTTTTTACAACCAGCTCGAGTACAAGGTGCCTCTCAAGCATCACGGGAACGGCGACCAAATTACCGTCACGGTTCGTGTGGTACTCGGCACATATGATGCGGACGCTGCCATCAGGATCAAGCAGCCAGCTGAGCGTAAAGTCCACTTGGACTCGCAGAAGCCCATCGCCGTCTACCTTGTCGGGGGCCCCGGCTCCGACAACCCACACACGAACAACCCCAAGATGACCAAGTTCTACCTCGACAAGGGCTTCCAGGTTCTTTTTATGGACTACCGTGGCACCGGCAGCAGCACCCCTCAGCGGGCCGACCATCTCAACGACAGCCTTCTTCCGAGCGGCAATGCTTACGTCGTGGGCAAAGAGCCGTCGCTCGAAAACTTGACTTCGGACGAGCAAGCTGAGCAGTTGTCGTGGTACCGCCAGGACAATATCGTACGGGACCTCGAAGCCGTGCGCAAGAGTCTGTTCACGGAGTCCGGCATCAAGTCTGCCAGAAAGTGGACTCTTGTCGGCCAGTCGTACGGTGGCTGGGTGTCGTTTACGTACCTGTCGTTCTATCCCGAGGCCCTTCATATGGTCCTGCTGACGGGCGGCATCCCCCCGGTGGGCCAGAGCCCCAAGAAGGTATATGAGCACACGTACGACTCGGTCGTCAAAGCTTGCGACGTCTTTTATGAGACGTATCCCGACCACGTAAAGAACGTGAGAGTTATTCTCAAGGTCATCCATGACGGCAACGGGAAAGACAAGGATGGAACCAAACTTCGGATCGCGATGCCAGGCGGCGGCGACCTGACGCCAGAGCGGTTCCTGTGCCTGGGCCGCACACTCGGCACAACGGATGGCAATGACAAGGTGAACAACGCTCTTAACAAGTTCATGGAGGACATTGATGCCCGCCGACCGATCAGGAATGACACGCTTCTCCAGGTCGAGTCCTGGCTGCGCTTTGAAGAGCGGCCTCTGTACGCAATCCTGCAGGAGCCCATTTACACCGAGTCCCCGAACACGCCGTCAGCCTGGGCTGCCCAGGCGGCTGGGGAACAACGGCTTAAAAATGAATACTGGTGGCTTCAGGAACGCGCCTTCGACTGCGTGTTCTCGCCAGAGACGGACAAGGACAAGAAGTTCGCCGAGGAACACTTTGATGGCAAGAAGATTTACATGTCGGCTGAGCACGTCTACCCATTCCACTACGACCAATTCAAAAGCCTGCGGCCTCTCAAGAAGGCAGCCGAGATCCTGGCCGAGAAGATAGACTGGCCGCCGCTGTATGACATCCTTCAGCTGCGCATGAACAAGGTCCCCATCTCGTCGCTTTCGTACGAAACAGACATGTTTGTCGACTGGCAGCTTTCCCAACTTACGGTGGAAATGATGGACGCGAAATATATCGGCAACGCCCACAACGCGGAACTGAAGCACACAGCTGTGAAAGACAAGCCGGATATCGTCCTGGATTGCGTGTGGGAAAACCTCGGCAAGCTTGCAAAGAGACTTGTCAACCGGGAGGTGGGTGATGAGGAGCTCAAAAGCGCCTCGTCTGTGATCTCTGTTCTCAAGGACGTAGCGGCAAACTAGACTTGCGGACGGGCAGGTTTTGGCAGACAGGTATTCTCGTGGGTAGTCGACGAATGGGTTGGGCTGGGTTTAACAGATATTGCGATGATTTCCTGTCTTTCTTTCTTTTTTTACGGAGTACTGACATTTTACGCTTTGCCACATTCTCATAAGATAGATTCCATAGATACAGAATCCACCTGACTTTCGATGCTCGCAGCATCGACGTGGACATGCTCTCTTCCTTCTCTAGATGAAGTTGTCGCGAGATTACGTCATATAAACAACTAACACTAGTACGGGGCCCCTCTGAATATACACCCGCCCGATCCACCGCCCGATCCACCGAATCTGACATACCGATGGAATCATATCCGCCCACCGAATCGATCGTCCAGGCCGTGCATAAAGATGCAGACATCCTACGAGCACTGATTCACCATTGATTTTCGCAGTTTTCTCCTCACGCAACACAGAGACAGAATCCACGTCCCGCTATCCCGCTTCGTCACAATGGCATTCGGCCTCCTCCTCCTTCGCAGCACGCCAATGGTGCTGTCAGCTGCTGCCGTGCAGTTCGACTACAGCCAGTACCTCTTCCTGCGTTCGTTCCTTGACCTGCCAGCTGACCTCGAACAAAAGAACGGGGCTGCTCCCCCGGAAAGCCGCTCCCAGGTCAACACCGTGCTCGGCCACTTCATCCACCGTCAGTTCCCGGCCGGCTTAAGCGCCATTCTTACGCTCTACCCGTTGACTTGGGTCGTCGCTGGTGCGAATCTGGCCCTCGGCCACCCGGCAAGTCGCCTCGCGGCGCTTCTCGGACTGGATGGCGACGGCGGCCTCGGCATCGCCCCGGCCGCCCGCCGCCTCTACATTGCCGGCCTCGTCTGCAGTGTCGGACACATGCTGTTTGGCCCGCGGGCACTGGATCTGATGCAGACAATTGGGGCACTGGGCGGCAAGGCAGGAAAGGACACGGAGACCCCCGAAAAGAAGCACGACAACTTGCATCTTCTTCAGACATGGCTGCAGCTGCATTTGACCCGCACATTCTTGGCCGACGTGCCCGGCTGGCTGTGCTTTACGGGGGCGTTTCTACTCAGCGTGGCGCGGTCGGGGTGAGTGGATGACTGAGAACAGCTTGCCTCTGGCACGTTGTTGAACCAGTAGAGACCAGTTTCCTATCCTCTGTTCGCTTTTGTATATATTCTGTCGTTGTTTGTCAAAATAGTACTATGAACTATAAACACGAAACACAACTATAAACAAATATTATATACAGATATATGTATACCCCATCAGCCATGTGTAATATTCATGCCCACGTTTGTTGTGACACATTTGCTGCCGGTTTCGAAACTACCGCGTTCCTCGCCGAGGCCGGTTAAATGAACCGTCGTGACCAACGCGCTTTCAGACTCGAGGATTATTTTACCGGGTAAACCAGGATGTCCTGTGGACGAAGCAAGGGACAGAAGTCCACATGCGTGGAACTACAAAGTGCTGTTCCCAGGTACAGCGCGTCAGTCAAGAGCACTCCAAGCTACGAAGGGACGGACTGAGCGGCAACAATTGTATATAACTACTGTCATGATTTATGCGCATTATGAGAGCGTCGTTTCCGCGCCTTCACGCTCTCTGTTCCAACGCCGGACGACCGTGCAGCCCAGGACGGCCGTCACGATAATTGACGCCACATGAAGCCCACTTTCGTTGCATTGATGTCAGCATGCTGTCCTTAAAGACCGTCTCGGCGAGAAGAGTGCTCCTCTTACACAACTGTCAGTGCCAGATACATTGTCATGGTCGCAAAGGCGTCTGATTTTGTTGAACTTTTGGGCGGACGCCGCGAGTCTCTACCGCCGTGGAAGCTCCTGAGCAAGGGAATCAACGTGCCGACGCTGCAGAATGCACCAGCAAACATGTCGGACACAATGATGCTGGGCGCCAGCATGGATGACTTGGCCAAGTAAAGGAGGATGGCCCCCGCATTGCCAACGATGGAGAGGAGCGTCTGTTGTGGCATTAGTCACAGTCCTGTATGAACACGAAAACACTATGCGCCCAGCAGAAGTGTATCCAAAAAGCCTCACCCCTACCATGAGAATGCCATAGTCGGCTTCGTGTGCTAGGATGGCCGTATAGACCGTCATCGCCAGTAGGGAAATGGCGGCTGCGATGAGCCCCAAACGAGTCGTTGTGTGCAGCCACTCACCAATGCTGGCTGGATGTGACGGGGCCATGGCTGATGTCGGTTGTTCGAAGCCGGACAAGATGCAGGCGTCGCCAGGAACTGGAAAATGCGGGAGAGAAAGAGAAACAAAAATTCAACGCAATATATCCTACAGGTCCAAGGGTCTTGGATGACGGCCAATGCCGCTCACTTCAGCCTGTTCGTCCACCATCCCCTACCATATGCGCCCACGCAGCTGTGCCGTAGTGGACGAAAGACACCATAATTTCTCATCGTTCTCATCATTGCTGTTGATTGCCCCAGCTAAGTTTCTGGTTTGTAGAACAGTCGAGGGACGTCAAGGAAGAGCCGTTTCACAGAGAACTTCGCTGTGCACGATGCCCTTCATCACGCGGGCTTAACTTTTATTTGACTCTCGCCTCCATGATGAAAATGGCGTCAGAAGCACAGGAGGTAATGAAGACATTCGTGAAAGACATCCTTGAATGTCCATCCAATCCATCGCTATATCCACTATATGATATTAGCTATAATATGCCACCAAAACTGTGAGTTTAGTCAACACTGTCACGAGACCGCATTCAAACGTCGCCAATAGGTAGTGTCGACATCATTTGAGAGTGTCATATAGTATTCAAATAGAGATGATATGGGCACCTACATGATACGGAATCTATCCAGGTCATAGGTGTAATATACAATACGTAAGAGTTGGGTATCAAATTTTGTCTCGTTGGTTCTTTCCTCCGTCAACCTCCTCTCCCTCCCCCTTCGTCCTCTCGCTCTTTCCCTTTACCGCACACCAGTCCTCATTACCCCTATTGGTCCCCTCTTGACCTTTCTGGGCCACTTCTCCTACTCCTTCACAACGGCCTCCTATCATTTCATTGCCTCCTTTTTCTCCTCACCTCCCTCCTTCAGGTCGAGATACACGCGCCGCAGCTCGAAGACGACCTCGACAGCGATCAGCACAATGATGATCCACTCCAGGCGTGTGCCGTGGCGCTCGCTCGAGATCTCCCGCAGCACCGTGGCAATCTCCTGCGCATAGTCCATCTTCTGGTTCAGCGTCTTGATGCGCACACCGACATCCAGTGCCCGGCCCACTTGCTCGTAGTAGCCCTCCAGACCCAGCTCGGCGCGTGCATCCCAGAAGATGTCTGGCAGCGCGTCCGTCAGCTCGCGGTAGTGGTTAAGCTGGGCACGCAGGCTCAGCAGCTCGCCCGTCTTTTGCAAGATGAACTTTTGCGAGATATGGCCCAGACCGCCGCCATCGCGTCCGCCGCTCTTGCGGCCGGCCAGGATCTCCGGGATGCGCCGCGTCGACTCAAAGTACTCGGTAAACGACCGCTCCAGCACCGCCAGCTTCGTGCTACGTGCCAGCCCCGACGAAAAGGCAATCTGCGCACGCGTCGTCGCCAGCCGGTCACCCTCGGTCGCTTCATGACGGGTGCCCAGCACGACAACGTCGCCGCGCATGGCGCTATTGTCACGCGCAGCATCGCGCCGGAAATCGAGCGTCTCCGTCTCGCGCAGTGCCACAAAGGGGTCGGCTGCAGCCGCCACCAGATGCGCCGTGGCCAGAGCGTCCACCGCGTCGGCCGCCAGGCCCCAGCCAACAAGAGTACCGGACTCAAACACGAACAAGTCGACCTGCCGCCACTCCTCTTCGTGGCCGTCTTCCGCGGTCGGCCACCACTGGCGTGCGTGCACCACCTCGTGCGACTCAAAGCCACTGCCGTCCGGGTCAATCTGGTAGCCCTGGTGTTCGAGAATGGACATGACCTTTCCCATATCAAACGACTCCGCCAGACAGACCGCACTGATGGTGTTGCTGCCATCCTCCGGTTCTTCCGGTGGTTTCGACACACGAGAAGCGACAGCCTCGTCCGCCTTTGTATCTCTGTCCACGACCGCCCGTGTCTCGTCAGAGCGGATGCCCTTGGGAGCCGCCGACGCGCCGCTGGGCTGCTGTTGAGCAATCACGGCGACGCGGCGCAGCGAGTTCTTGGCGCCGGCCGACCGCGGCTTTCTCTTAGCTGCTTGCAAGGCTACCGCCGAAGGCGTCGTCGCTTTGACACTTTGTGCGCTTCGTGCGGTCTTGTCTTCTTTGCTTTCTCTCCTGTCGTTGCCAACTGCCGCCGATTTCCTGCCCCCGCCCTCGCTGTCGCCCTCGTCGGAGTGAAGCCGAAGATTCGACGTGAAAAAGTCACGGCGACGGGGCATACCCACTGGGACCGTGCGGTGAAAGGTACAGCGGCGGCCCAGAGGCGCCATGGCGTTGGACGTGCGGCTGATTCCGCGCATTGTCGCAGACGACCGCAGCCGTGGATGATGCCCGCTATGTAAGACGCATGTCCGTCTTGTTGTGCTCAAGGCACGAGATTGCTGGTACCTGGCTGCTGACACTGTCAACGGCCAGGCTCGTCCCACGGACGCACTCACGGCCTGGCCGAACCGGCTGCCGGACGACGACACGGTTGCTGGTGAGAGCATAACGGCGTCTGTATAATGGCCGCCATGTAATGGTCCAGAAGAGATTGAGAGGGAAAACGACGTAAAGGCAGGCAATGGCACGAAGACAACCACAGCTGTCACGTCAGTTGAATGTCTCAAACAGTTCGTGATTTTGTTTACGAGATTTCGGCGCACCGCCGGGCTAACTGTGAGCTACCAACGAATAACAGGGCTCCATTTGCAGGCGGCGTCCGGCTTGGCCTTGAAGTCTCACCTGAGCTGCTGAGTTCGGATATATGCATATGTGAGCCATTCAAACCTCGACAACCGCATATCCAGGCAGACGAATTGAGAACTGGATCGTCGGCTCTACGTTGTGACCAGTGAAAAGGTAAATAATCACCGCAATTATATGTCGTCCTCTTTCGCTTCACAATTCCGAATTGCCACCTTTTACCTCGTTCGACTTGTCTCAGAAGCCTGTCTTGAGTGCACCAACCATCCGATCCTCCGCCCAACACAAACTAACTACGTCACAGCGCCCTTTTTGGTAGAAACGAGTGTGGGGCCACATTCCGTCCAGGGTCTGACTGGCGGAGGCAGTTTGGCCAATTCGTCTTGTCCTCTCTCCTCTCCTCTCCATTTGCTGCAGCCAAGTCTGTCTCTTGTGTATTATCTCGGGAACCAACGCATTGAACACCAACAGATGGTCTAAACTATCTCGGAGCGAGCCTTCGAAACTACTATTTCACTATTGCGAAACGACTGTATAATAGGGATCACTTGTTTAGAGGCCTCTGTCGTCAACTTCAGTCACCACCTCTCCTCGGTAGTTTAACTTGTTCACATCACCTCACTTTCGTCATAACCGGTCTGCTTTGACATCTTCTTTACCTCTCCCAAAGCCCCATTTTATTTGCATCCCACCCTTTAAAGTTACCCCGGCCCTCCACATTCTGCAGATCATTGCCTCCTCAACACAGTCAACCTGCCGAACAAGACAGGCGGTGGTCGTCAACTCTTCGTGCCAACTTTTCGCCTTCCATCATCTCTGTGTACGAGTTTCGATCACACCACAATCGTCAACCAGTTACATCTTCCCTTCCTTTCTCAGAAAAGGATCGACATAGGCTTTGCTTGTGGGTGTGCGAGACGGGAAGAAAAGAAAATAGAAAGGACAAGAAACAGATTGTAAGTGAGGAGGCATCGACCGCCGCCCATTTTGATTTTATGTCTTTGGAGAAAGGTATCCCTTATATATCAAGAGGCTCTCCCCAATCCTTTGTCCGGGTGTCTTTGAATTCTGTTTCATCTCCCTTTTCACAGAAGTCTCTACATAGTTGCATCGAAAGCATTTGTGAACACAGCATCTCGCATATTCTCACAAACGTTTACTATCACACTTACTTCGTGCATTCGCTCTCATCCACAATGTCTCAAGTATTGAATCCCGTCACTCACAACTACCCGTTTGCCTTTGCAGGAAAACGACCCATCATGGATCCCAAGGAGCGGTTCTACCGCCAGTTCCAATTCGAGGTTCAGGGTGAGCATTCAACCCAGGCATATCTCTTCGTCTTAACCCCGTCTAACTGTGCAGATATCCAAACTCTTATCAGCAAACTCGGCTCCATTTCCATTGTTGGCGGCGAGCGCAAGGATGCCACAGACAGCATTCTGATGCGCATTTCCAAGCTGTCGCTCGACGTGGCTGATGCCTCCGACTTTATTCCCGCCTACGACCAGCGCACACAATCTGCTGTAAGTGAATGTTTGAAAAGGGCTGTCGTGCTGCAGTGTTGTAATGTTGTATTTTCTTAAGTTGAGTTCTGTCTAACCCTCGTAGGCTATCAAGTCTCTTACAGACCAGCTAAACGAGGAGGTGGCCCGGTTGGCGCCGGCCAAACCTCGGTTCCAGTTCAAACGGGCACCCAGGACGGTCGCAGCACCTCCAGCTGGCAGCACGCCGGCCGCACCAGACAACCGCTTGCTCCGTGGTGTGCCTGATAAACCTGTGGCAAAACCAGAGGAGACAGCAGACGCCGCCGCTACAGAAGCTGAGGCGTCTGATGCTGTTGGTACCCTGCCCGTGATTGGAGCCGGAACGGCCGTTGGCACTAAAAATTACAACGCCGAAATCGGCAGCACCGGCGGCAAAAGCGGCAGCATCCGAAAGCCAAGTTTCTCGTCTGCCCGTGAGATTGCCATCTCCGGCCACACAGGCCTGCACATCATCCTCCCACTCTCAGCATCACGTGCCACCGCATACGGCAGTCTGACCGACCTTCACAACTGCGTTGTCGACATGTCCGTGCCCACATCTAGCACCGCACGCGGTGGCGGTGGCGCCGCCTTCCAGAGCCTGATGCTGCGTGATATTGAGCACAGTCTTGTGGTGGCAGGACATGTCAGTGGTGCCGTGCACATCACGGGCCTCAAGAATTGCGTGCTTGTCGTCGCGGCACGCCAGGTGCGCATCCACGAGTGCGACGGCGTCGACGTCTACTTGCAGTGCGGCAGCCGGCCGATTATCGAAGACTGCCGGCACATGAGGTTTGCGCCGCTGCCCCAGCCTTATGCCAACGACGGCAGCAGCGAGGCCACCAACCAGTGGGACCAGGTGGACGACTTCAAGTGGCTGCGGTCTGACGCGTCACCCAACTGGAGCGTGCTGCCCGAGGCGGAGCGGCTGCCGGACACGGTCTGGACAGGCGCTGTAACAGGAGGGCCGGGACTGAGCACAGCGGACGTGTTGCGCGCTGTCGGGATTGCGAAGAAGTGATTGTCGAATGAGCTGTCTCGAGCAACGATGGCGTTGTAGTTTGAATTGAGGATACCACAGTTTTGAGTGTCTGTTTCTTTCTTTTTGTTTGTGACGCAGATTTTCCATCGGGAATGGTAAAATAGCATGTCGTAACTGTCTCGTCTTCGTTATTTCAACCCCCCATGCCGCTCTCACAGCGCCATCTTGTCGGTGTCGCGCTGCTCCTGCTCTCCAGCAGCTGCGAACCGCACGCCGTCCGCCCGCAGCCGTGCCAGCATCGCCTTTTGGGCCTCGATGCGCGCCTCCAGCTGCCGCACTTCAGCCTCTTGGGCGGCCACTGTACGGTTGACGTCAGGCAGTGCCTTGATTTGCACACGCGCGTGCTGCAGTTTGTGCTTGAGGCTGTCCGTGGCGGTCGGCAGGTCGCGTAGGCTGATGGGCGGACCAGCAGCAGCCGCCGCCGCCGCCGCGCCGCCCATGGACGCGCCCAGAGTCTCCCCGTCGCTGGCCCCGCCACTGTCCCCTGCTGCTCCGCCCGCTGGTCCGCCTGTAGGTGCTCCAGATGCGGCACCGCCATGGGCGCCCGCTGCAGCTCCGTTTTGGGCACCACTGCCAGCTGGTTGCGGCGGCCGAAGACGCGCGAGAATGGCTGCAAGCTCGGCTGTCGTGTCGAGCGCATCGGGCGAGAAAGTCGTGGGCAGGGCGAGTGGGTGAGCCATTTTGAGACGTGACAAGGACGGGAAAGGGTCGTGAAAGAGAGTTGGAGATGTGGGTTTCGTGATACAATGGTCGAAGTGGTGTTTGTTCAGTTCTTGTGTTTTGATATTGACTAGACATTTTGTATGGACATTCTCCATGACAAAGTGCCAATTATATTATTAGCACTGTATCTGACCCCTGACACTGAGGTACGATACCACCTAAATTCCCTTTTCAGCGACCTTGTCCGCAGAAATACGCCGTAGGTTAGTGTACAATGTGCTGTAGGCCAAACACCCAACACCGGTTTATTAATAGAATGTCCATAAAACGCGGTAGACCAGTGCCTCTTATCGCTCGTTATCGCCCCGTTGCTACCCCGCCAGCGCTGAATCAAAGCCAGGAAAAGGTCGATGATACTACATATGGTAGGTAGTCAATAATAGCGAGTATTTTAGAATCGGGAAAGAGCTCTCCTTTTTTTTGTCTCAGTTCCTTGAAAATCACGCAGAACGTGTTTTTACCTCGACCTCCGTCTTCTCGCCCACCACATACGCTCATACCCTTCTCAATTGCGTTGATCGAGCTGATTCAACAGCGATTTGTTCCAGTTGTCAAGTTTTTCGGCGACGTTCTCAGCCTTTTTCGGAACTAACGCCGCCCTCTTTCCCCCCCAACAAACATCAACAAACCTCAAAATGGCCAAAGTCGAGCAGAATGCCTGCCTCAGTACGTCCCCTGTCCGCCTTTTCTGTTCCCTTCCCACCCGTCGGCGAGTCTGAGCGTGCACTCGGTTGTCGAGAAGAGAATATGCGAGACGAAGATAAGAAACAGCAGCGAGAGGAGGTGAGACGACGAGAAGATGAAGGGGGTCAAGGGGATGCCGGTGATGAACAGGACGGAGAGAGTGACGTGGGTGAAGAGGGCGAAGAGGGCGAAGAGGGCGAAGGGAGTGCAGGCAGTGAGAAGCGCAAAGAGAAACCGAGACGAGGAGGTGGAGAGGCACAGAAGAAGCAGAGCACAGAAGCAAACCCGATGGCCGAGAGAAATCCCCGCGCCGCAGACCCCTTGTTGATTATAGCCTACATGCTCGTCTATTTGGAGATCGCCTGGCTAATCATTGTGCTCGTGCGCTCTGCGCTGGCTCTCTGAGCCTTTCGCTTTCTTTTGCTCCCGTTTTACAGTCGTCATTGATGGTTGGGGCATCCCTTCGGCCGAATCGCCCAAAGACGGCGATGCTATTGCAGCTGCCGAGACGCCCGTCATGGACGCGTTCTCCAAGAGCAAGACGGGTTTCACGGAACTCGAGGCTTCCTCGCTTGCCGTCGGTCTGCCCGAGGGCCTGATGGGCAACTCCGAGGTTGGCCATCTCAACATTGGTGCTGGT